TGTATGTATGTATGTATGTATGTACGTATGTATGTATGTACGTATGTATGTATGTAAGTATGTATATATGTATGTACGTATGTATGTATGTATGTATGCATGCTTTTATGTTTGTATGTATGTATCTATATGTATGTATGTATGTATATGTCTAGAATGTATATATATGTATGTATGTGTGTTTTTATGTATGTATGTATATGTATCGATGTACATATATATATATATATATGTGTGTGTGTGTGTGTGTATGTATATATATATATATATATATATAACAAGCTCTTTGTTTGTAGCTTACGATACAACGTTCACAATGTAGAGTATTCCACACACTTTATCTTCATGGATTACGCAAGTAATGAACCGGATACCATCACCGGGTGGCTTGTATCACCCAGAGTACATGCTTCTAACTGATATCGTCTAATTGACGTTCTACGCCATAAATTTAGTATCCCAGTACCTTAAACCCTATTTCCTAAACATTTGATTTCTTTAGAATGTGATCGATGGCGATTTGGTGGAACAGTTCAATACAATGGTTCTCAGCAAACGTAAGGATCTTTCAGATGAACTCGACCGAACACCGCCCGAAGTATCGAAGAAGTTAGAAGACATTCGCGCACTCTTTGCCTTTTAAAAGCGTCAAAGTAACCTATATGCAATAAGTCGCCACAAACTATATGCAACTATGGGGGACGACTCTATATAATATAAGCCTACTCTTGGCGTTCTGGACAGTCATGAATACCATATGCAGCTGCGCATAGTTACTCTTATAAACAACCCTGGATTAAGCGATGAAAGCTTCGCGGCAAAATGAGATGCACCTTGGTATAATCTGGCATGGTCAACACTCCAAACAAACCATGTTACTGAAATAAATACGCCACGTACGTATCATCCACACATTCGATGGCTCTCGCAACATCCCACGTGCAGGTTTCATTGGCTAATTTATAGTTGATAGCTACTCTACACCAAGAGTAGCCGGCATTACACTTCACGAAATACATCTCAGCGTCCACGCGCTGCCCGATCATACCAGTATTGGCCGTAGCGAGAATGTACTGTACACTTGTGATTCGCTATACTAAACTTTCTACTCTTGACTCGCTTGTTCAGGAGTGGGCCATAACTTTGCGAGCCGAGCCCTTGTTTCGCCGGGTTCGCTATTGCGATCGGTGTACTTGGACTCGACACCTGTCCTAACCAACTTATGAACAGGTCCGTTTGATTTTTCTCTCATATCAAATTAGGGTAGGGCAGGCTAATTCTAGAGTCGACGAGGTTGACTTTCATGCACCGACAATTTGGTAAAAGTAACGATGGCAGGGACCGTTGTTACCCCCACCGAGTTGGAATCGGCGGATAACGACCTTGAAATCGGTTCAAACAGAACCTCGGCGTCGAGACCTTAGCAGCATTGCTAACGCCCATCAATGAAAGATTCTTAAACTTATAGCCATCTGCAACTGGAAAATATTGACCTCAACGTCTGCGGCTGTCTTGTCGCATCTCTACGAGCAATATTGTCCGTTTATCATACGCTGGCAGGTCGAATCACCAATAACCAAATCATCATGGGCTGCATCCAAATGCGTCGTAATTAATCCAAAGGCTATTTACATCCGCACCAAATAATTCCGACGTCGACGATTATAAGTTTAAGGAGAAGGTCTCAGCTGCATCCAAATGCGTCGAAATATATCAAGGGCTATTCAAATCCGCACCAAATAATTCCGACGTCGACAATTATAAGTCCAAGGAGTAGATCTCAGCTGCATCCAAATGCGTCGTAATTAATTCAAGGGCTAATCACATCCACACCAAATGGTTCCGACGTCGACAATTAGAAGTCCAAGGAGAAGGTCTCAGCTGCATCCAAATGCGTAATAATTAATCCAAGGGCTATTCACATCCGCACCAAATGATTCCAACGTCGACATTTT